ACAATAAAGTACAAATAAATTTTGGGAACGATTAGGCGTCTCTAAAACGTTGAAACCCAAATTTTCGATGAACGTTTTCCCCGTATGTTGCCCATAACTTTGCTGTCGATGGATCAATTTATAAAACGCAAAAGCTTTTTCGTCCTTGCGATAGTAGTAACCTTGAATCAAAATCTCTAGCTGACAGACAGACAGATCGATGGAAATAAGTTTTAAAATATTTGTATACATCATACATAACATTGTACCTAATTAGCTCAATCATATTTATATTGTTTTTCTCAACGCGTGAGCTTCTAAAGTGGCGTTTTGATTTAATTATAATAATTTTCCTATCACTTAGCAACTAACAACCTTATTATGAGCAAATCCAGATAATTATGGGACGTTACTACATTAAATGTAAGACATTATCTTGGTTTACACTATTATTTTATAAGTAGTAGCCATTTTCGTTGGACTGCCATGTCACGCTATAAGATATTTATCTTAAGAACGAGCTGTAATTCAAGAAAGATAGGAAGCTGAGAAATAATGATGAAGTAGCCATTAGTGCACTAAATTATAGTTAAATTAGACGTGTTTGACGTTTTCATTTAAAAACAGAAAAGGAAGAATAATCTAAATTTTATCTTCGTGTTGACTCGCTAAAACAGCGGACTGCATCAGTGCTTCTGAGAACGAGTTAACTTAAGTCAATTGTGAAGAGCGAGGCTGCTTCTGAGAGCGAATGTTTCCTGTTTCCGTCGCCCGTAGGTCCCCAGGGTTCATAAGGAAGGGGGCTTTATCGTTTACAGGGGACGGTTTAGACGCTCTAAAGGATACGAGTTATCAACTGAAAATTTATCATTATAAAAATTGCGATTTCATTGTCTGGTTTTAACGAAAGTCCGACAATGACTAGTGCTCTGTAGATGTGCTCAAATGATGTTCGAATCGAATCAGTCTTTCCAGACGACTAGGATTAATATTTCTTAATTATACTCGGGTGTTCTGAAAGTTAATTCAAAGCGCTCTTTTCATAGAATATTTCAAAACAAAGTACTTGTATGCCATTCAAGTGTGAATTAATGCTAAAACTAATTTGAGTTTGATCAGATAGCAGATAAAGAATGACGATATTGGGAAATGACATTTAAATCATAGGCAATTGCAATTGCACTTAAACATTGTCACCATATGAGGCGACAGTGCTTTGATAGAAAACATCGCCAAGCTTATTACAAAAAGTGTAACCGACAATATTCTCTTCATATGGAAAATCTTCTTACTTCTACAGGGTGATTGATAACTACGTGGTTGCCCAAATATATACTAAGTGACATATAAATCCGAACACCCAGTTTAAATGGTTTTATTTTAATAAAAGTTGGTGAATGTATTTATCTTACTGTAAATAACAAGTGAAAAAATGTTCAGCCTTATCAGTTCGACATTCCGGTTCTTATACTGCTTTTTTTTAATTCACTAATGCTCTAAAAATGAATATTTCAGCCGCAGTAAAGAATCAACGTTGGCGGATTTTGGTTCTTGACATCCTTTACGATCGGTTACGATGCCTAGAGTACGGAGACCTGTACGATTTCGTCAACTAAGTGAGTTTGATAGGGGCCGTATAGTGGGACTTCGGGAAGCTGGACTTTCTTTTCGGGAAATTGCAGTTAGAGTGCCAAGAAGTTTAGACACTGTGGTTAGGTGTTGTCAGGCATGGCTTCGAGAAGGCCGTACGCAAAGAGCAAGGGGCACTGGACGCCGCCGTAGAACAACAGACCGTGAAGATCGCCGCCTAAGATTATTGGCCTTAAGGGACCGTTTCTTCACTACCAGGTCCATTGCAAATGAATGGTTTGCAGAACACGGAAGACCTATTGGCATGCGCAGTGTTTACCGACGAATGAGAAGTTTTTGCTTGTTTTCATACCGGCCACACTGGGTCCTCCCTTTAACTCGAGAACACCCACGTAATCGCCTTGAGTGGTGCAGACAACGGTCACTCTGGGATCAGGAATGGAACAGTATTGTCTTTAGTGACGAGTCTCGATTTTGTGTAGGCATGCACGATGGTCGTGCCAGGGTTAGAAGGCGACGTGGTGAAACGAGGAATCTACAGTTTTTTGTTGAAAGACATGTTCATCACACTGTTGGAGTTATGGTTTGGGGTGCTATAGCTTATGGTTCCAGGTCACCTTTAATCTTCATTAGAGGTAACATGAACGCGCAGCGTTATATCCACGAAGTTCTAGAACTCCATCTTTTACCCTATCTTGACACCCTGGCAGATCCAACTTTCCAACAAGATAATGCCCGACCACATGTTGCAAGAGTCACAATAGACTTCTTTCAGCATAATGATGTCACATTGTTACCATGGCCACCTAGATCTCCCGACTTATCCCCAATTGAGCACGTGTGGGATATGATGGGTAGGAGATTGCTCAATTTGCAACGTCCTCCTCAGACTCTAGAAGCACTTCGAGAGGAGTTGGTAGTTGCCTGGAATGAGATACCACAGGAGGACATTGACCACCTGATCAGAAGCATGCCTAGGCGCGTTGAAGAATGCGTAGCACATCAGGGTGCATCCACACGTTATTAAAGGTCAAAGGGCAGTGCAATCATTTTGAAATTTTTATCATTTACTTATTATGCTTCATTAAGTACTTATACAAAATTTTATTAAAATAAAACCATTTAAACTGGGTGTTCGGATTTATATGTCACTTAGTATAATTTTTTTAAGCGAAATATTTTATATCATAACATAGGGTTTTATTTTTAAATTATTGAGACTTTGGACAGCCTATCGAAAAAATACTCAACTAGGACAAATAGCACCTCCGCCACTGTTTCAGCTGAGATACTGAACTTTCTCTCAGAAGAATTTTATGGCCCAACATTCAATCCCTATCTACTTACTTTATTAGTTATTTTGATAGTTTATACAGGGTAGTAAAGAACGCGAAATGAACGATTTCCCAAAAATTTAAAATGTATGTTTTCACACTCTTTGATTCTCTCTAAGCAAGCTTTTTTTGATATCGGATTTATGGGGGGTTGCACGACAAGTTTTTGAGTTACAACTAACCTTATTATCAATCACATATCAAGGTACACAGAAAATATTACATTATCTTCTAAAATAAAAAATATCATTATGCATCAAAGTTGGAAAGTCATGAACGGGCACTGCATTTTAGTAACTAACTCAGAAACCAGTTGTACAAGCCCCGTAAACCCTAAACCAGGAAAAAGCTTGTGGAGAGGAGAATCAAAAAGTGTAAAAATATAGAGATTGTACCATTTGGAAACCTTGAGAAGTCATTCATTTTACTTTCTTTGTCTACCCTGCATAGATTATCCAAAAACTCTAGCTATTTTAGTTGCGGAGGTGAGCCTTGTCCAAGTTCACTATTCTTTTCTATAGATTGTCCAATTTTTCAATAATTTGCAAATCAAACTCTATAGTGTGTTTTATCAAATTGCTGCGTTTGAAAGAGCCTGTCCGATTCTGCCATAAAATGTTACGCTTTCAAATTCAAAGAAATAATTTCCGGTCACCGCGTAGTTTTGAATAACCCTGAAGAATTGAACATAGTTTCCAAGTCAGCCCAACTAACAATTATCACTCCTATTAGAGTTGCAAGAATGATTATACAGTATTCCTTACACAGCATTGTATACTGTAAGAACATTGGCAAAACACTCTTAGCACAGCTATACAAGCGGAATGGGCACACCTAGTAGGATACTTTAGTCATTTAAGAGGTTGTATAAAGGCTGCAGGTAACAGTTATACAACAAAAGTGTAAGCCTCTTGCAGCCGCTATAGAACATTTGCGTCAGTGCAAGATTCAGTTTTTGTCAACTATACAACTATTCTGTTACGTGATTATACTTTATTGCAACCAAACTATTTCTTAAGTATTGTATAGACGAAGTGAAGAATATACAACTAACACAATACAGTCATCTTGTTTACTTACATATCGGCCATTGTGAATTTCATACACAGGTATATGATAAACTTCTACACTATGATATAGGGCTATTGAATTACTTGCGCAGCAAATTTTATTGTGATTATCGTGCAAAGTAGTTACGCAATTTCTACGGGCTTCGTATTTGATTCATATTTTGATAATGATCAAAAGTATGTCTAGATTTTTAAGATGGAAAACTGAACTTATCTGCGTTAAATCTTCCACAAATCCTATATTTAGACACAATTACACTAATGTTTATCACTTTATATCTGTAATTTTGAACTGAAACATAATTATTTAATATCAAATAGAGGAATAAATGTTTGCCCAATATGGCGGGTGGTTGTGTATAATCATGGCATCGTCCATGTGTTGTCTTTAGTTTATTAGAACATTTTGGTGTTGCCTGCAGGTGTTATACAACAATTTGACAAATGGCAGAAATGAAATACCGACAGAGTCGAATGATTTACCTAGAATTTGTATCAGATCTATATCTTCTGTTTGAACAGTTGATAAAACCTTTTTAACCAATATGCATGCGTTGTTTGTCTTAAAACATTGGTTATGGCATTTTAACTAAAATATGACAGCAGAAAGTTAGGTTATGGTGAAGTTGTATACCTACATATTTAGCAGTTACTAAACAACAGTTGTGTTTTATAAACGTTACCATGGATGCCACAACACAACCATTTTGACTAACCTGCAAATATGCCGTATAAAATAGTTGTATAAACGTTTATGCATCAGTTAAAAATTTGTCCTGTAAGGTGTTGTGCAACTATGCTATAAGAATATTTTAAACATCTCATTTTAGAGCAAATATGTTGCAGAAAGCAAATTTGCATTCCACATAACATTAAGCCAGCATTTTGGTGTTCAGGCAACAACAATAGAGAGCTTTTATGGCTGAACGGTTCTTTTACCAAAAGCTTATAGCACTACTTTGCTTGTTGGGAGTAGCATACAGTTTTCTACAATTTTATCGATGTCCAAAAACCATTCGACACCTACCCATAGCCTATGGCAGGAATCCATCTTCATCCTATATACCGATATCAACTGCGAGCAGTTGACGTTGCCCCGCATTGGCCCATGCAACTGCCAGCTGGGATAAGCTGACAAGGTGGGTCCTGAACCAGGAGGCACATGTCTGGGAATGGTGGACAAAGTGGCTGGAACGCCTGCACGGAGTCTGGGGGTGGCTATGAAGATGCGGTCGTCTGATATCTCCAGACCGGTGAAGACTGTGTTGTCTAACCTGAAATAGTTACAAGCATGAATGGAAAGTTTTGAAAGCTCCCGAACTCAAACGTCTGAATACAAGTTTACGAAATTTTAATTTGACCTGTTTACTAGTGTGGGACCAATATTTGATCTGATTTTTGAAGTCGAAATTGTGCACACACGTTTTGCTTGTATGACAATATAAAATAAATGTAAGTATTGAATCCAATAGATCGGAAGTTACAAAATGCCGATTTATAATTTCCATACTCAACCCTATGATATGAATATCAAATAAAAGGGATTGATGAGAGAAACAGAATAAGCAAAGTGACGTCATTCTTAATCCAATATGGTGACTGCCGCAATAAGGCGATTTGTAATTTCCATACTGACCCCAATATTATAGATATCAAATGTTGATGATTATATAATTTATATTTACCTATCGTAATTTTATAACACGAATAAAGTAAGTAATTTTATGCTGTTGATAACTTTAACTAAAAATTTAAAAAATATTTCCGATTGGTGATATTTAAACTACGAAAAAGAATGTGATACGAGGGATGTCTTTTAGGTTTTGCATATGGAAATAAAACAACACGGTTGGTAGTTTTAAATGAATTTATTGTTTTTCGAAGTATTCTCCACGAAGATTAATACACATCTGCATGCGCTCGAACCAATTTTCGAAGCACTTATTCCACTCGTTTGCTGGCAGATCCAAAACGGCATTTTTGAATGCGTCGACTGCTTCTTCTGGTAACTGAAACCTTTGACGACGCAGTCTGTTTTCAATTTTCGGGAAAGTAAAGAAATCGTTAGAACTTAGATCGGGACTATCAATCAATCAATTCTTTATTCATGTCACAATACATAAAATATATTTACATACGTCAGTAGATCAAATGAGAATTGCATTAGAATTAAAACAAAGGGAGTGCTAATGATCATAAAGAATTACAAACAAGTACACCAGCACTCATAAAGATATAACGCTAACATAACATATTAAGATTTATAGTTAAAATGTATGTCTTAAAAACTCTTCAAACGTGTAAAATGAGTTATCAATAAGAAGTTTCTTGATTTGAACTTTAAAATCTTTAAACGGAAGCGATTTTAAGCCGTCTGGAAGTACATTAAAAAATTTGACCGCCCAATAACCAGGTCCATCTTGATACCTTCTCAGTCGCCAATAAGGAGGTACTAGATTGTTCTTATGCCTAGTATTGTGCTCATGGACGTCCCCATGAGTTACATAGTTAGAGTTTCTTTTAACGAATAGTAGATTTTCAAAAATACGAGTATATAAACAAGGCACAGTAAGGATTTCCAACTTGACAAAGGTATCTCTGCAATCGTCCCTGTAGCCCAGACGGCTCACAACCCTAACTGCTCTTCTTTGCAAGGCGAACAGTCTATGGACCCCTGAAGAATGCCCCCAAGCCAGAATGGCGTAGGATATATGTGAATGGCAAATGGCAAAGTAAGCCATTCTCAATATTTCTACAGAAACACAAGAAGACAAACTCCGTAGCATATATATACCTTTGGTGGCCTTTCCAGCAACACTGTCAATGTGAAGGCCCCATTGCAATCTTGGATCCAAAGTAACCCCCAGAAACTTGGCTTCACCAACCAAATCACTGTCTCCAGGCAGGCTTCGCATGAAGAACACCATTCTCTTTGTCTTCTCTTTATTTAGCAACAGCTTATTGGAGCAAAACCACAGCTCAGCCTCATCCTGCGCAGCCAGAGACTGTGCCATTGAGCGCTCAAAACTATTAGCGGTGTGAGAGACGGTCGTATCATCCGCGAAGAGAGTAAAGTTTGCCATATTGTTATTGAGAGGTAAATTAAAAAAAGAATTGGGCCCAAGATGGAGCCCTGTGGGACGCCAATATTAACACTTCGCTCCGCTGATGTCACTCCATCACATCTCACCACCTGAGTTCTATTACTAAGGTCAATTAGTTTAATGGAATCATAACTAAAGTTGTAAGCAAGGAGCTTTTTTAAAAGGATGTCATGGCTCACACAATCAAATGCCTTACTAAGATCGCAGAAAAGAACCGTGTTATACCCTCCTCCATGGAAAGCATCAATTATAGGAGAAATCAGGTTAAGTACACCCATAACAGTGCTCTTACCCTGGCGAAAACCAAACTGATATTGTGAAAACAATTCATTTGCCTCAAAAAAGGTTACCAGTCTCAAAGCCATACATTTTTCAAAGATCTTAGAGATAACTGGAAGAAGGGATATAGGTCTGTAGTTCTCTGGTGAATCAACATTGCCGTTCTTAAAAATAAGTGTGACACTAGCTCTCTTTAGAACAGTTGGAAAAATATTTTCTCTAAGACAAATATTAATCAGTCGTGTTAGAGGGATCAAAATTATGTTCTTTATACATTTTACAATTTTTAAATTGAAACCAAAAATATCTTTACTGTTTTTATTTTTGAGATTATCTATTACATCGCGAACCTCGTTAATATATGGAGGATGGTCCAATAATCCACTTTTTCTTCCGTTAAATACTGCCTTGTTTTTTGGGCTGTGTGCGAGCTTGCATTGTCTTGGTGGAGGATGAGTCTTCTTTCGGGGTTGATTTTTCGAAGCTCGGTGATGACTTTTGGCAAACAAATGGTGGTATACCAATCCACAGTAACAGTTCTTTGCTCATTAAGAGGAATTGTTGCAATGTGACCTTTTTACACAAATGTCGCGACCATCATTTTCGAAACACTTCGAGAACGGATGACTTTTGTTGGCTTTTCTTCACCTTGGAACACCCAAACAGCCGACTGTCGTTCATTTTCTGGTTCATAACAGTAAATCCAAGATTGATCACCACTAACAATGCTGTACACATTTTTTGAGTTTTCGGAATTGAAACGGTTAAGCGTTCTTTGATACCAATGAACCCTGGCTGCTTTCTGCTCTTCAGTCAACAGGTGGGGTATCCAACCAGAAATTATTTTCTTATTCCTAATTCTTCATGTAAATTTTTTTGAATTGAGGTCTTGGAGATCTTTATGGACGCCTCAATCTCGCGATATGTCACATGTCTATCTTCAATGATGAGTTTGCGCACAGCATCGACGTTTGCCTGGGTAACTGCCGTTTTTGGTGCACCCACCCTGGAATCGTCGCTAAGACTCACCCGTCCATGTTTGAATTTTCCACATTAACGGAAATTTGTCGACTGATGTGGCGCTTCGTTGCCAAAAACAAACAGTAACTCAGCAAGGCATTCTTGTTGCGATAATTGTCTCTGAAAGTTGTAATAAATTATGGCGCGAAATTGTTCTCGGTTAAGTTCCATTTTTCTAATGACTTGGTGACACTTAAAAATGCACTGTAGTGAGAACACTTCACGAATTGTTGTGAAACTTTAAATTTAAGTTTACTAAAGAGTGAGGTTAAGATTCAGTACTGACGTTCGATCCGCGCGGCCTACTATGTTTCTATATGCAAAACTTAACTTAATTTGAAAATTCCAGCTACATAAAAACTTCCTTTTGAAAATGTATTTTATTTGTTTTATATATCTTGCATTGTAAGGGACATTTTAAAGAATAAAAGAAGAATTAAAACTGGTTCAGTACTTGGGTGATACGATATACGAGCCATTTGTCTCTTGTGTGGTCAGAGGTAGAAAAACATCTTATAAACTCGATAGTAAAAGATTCATAGTCGAATTTCTTGTCTGGCCTTAAGTTCCCAAAACAATATTTTATAAACGCTACCAGAGAAAGTTACTCAGCAAAAGAAATTCTCGAAGGGACCCACAGCTCGCAAAAGGTTCCAAGCTCTGACATTAATTGAGCAATTATTACAAGCCAATAATTCTGCAACAGATGGCGATATTCCTACGTTAAAGTTCCTATATCTGATGAATTATTTTTCTAGCGGTGTACCTTGGACATGTCTGCATCCATGGTGAGTTCTAAATTAGTCTTCAACATTTCAAATTTGAAAACAAAACAATCTTCGATAGCAAGTACCAAAATACGGAATTGTTTTAACAGAACCTGAATGTTTATTGCACCTATGTCTTACCTTATTTCTGATGCGGATGTAAAATGATATGGAAGATCGAAGCTCAGGTAATTCCACTGGTTCACGACATCAAGGTGCACCGTGGCTGAAGACAGCGTCCAGAGACTAACTTGGGATATCCAAAGCAGGATCCACATTTTAATCGCCAGTATCTGTAACAAAAAATACACATTTTAGGGCTCCTCGTTTTACCATTTTAGTAGCGTCGTTTCTAACAGCGCATATCGTTTTTTTTTTGAGAACTTTTAGATTGAAGTCTATCAAACAACAAATTATTTTTAGTGTCGCCTGAGTATTGAATTTCAGAGAATTCTTTGGATTTTATCCAGTGATGGCAAAAAAAATCATACAAAATATTTCCGCTGTGTGTAAGATGTCAAGTATCTAAATTATTATATCATAGTCGTTCAAATATAATCTATTTTACAGAGGACAGCTCCAGGCAACTAGCAATACAGGCTGTCGATATAATTGGTTGTATAATAAGCAACTGCGCTGTGCAGGCGGTACTAATAGTTTATTGCAAATTATCGGAATGTGCTTCTGAAGACATGTTATAATTATTAGGTATACTAATAACTTATACAAGCGAGCAAATATTCAGGTTACAGTTAAATCGGAGATATGCTTTTAACCGAGTTCGAGAGTTAAAAAGAAACTTGGAACTGCTAAATTAGAAAAACAAACTGAATGCAGTACTCTGAATTACCATTTAAACACTATGCAGCTGTTATAAATTCGAATTTACGCTTGACTTCTCATCTATTTCCCCAAAAAGAAGCTCTACAAAGAATTAGATATTATTTTAAAAATGACATATTTTCTGCTACTCTTTGTTCGTTCAAGTCAGGATATAAAATATCTAAATTCATTCCCCTTTTTTTGGATTTTCGAAGTAGAACTGTGTTTGATGGAATAAAAAAATAATAAGCAGAAGCCTGGTGTTTCCATTTAGTAGGCCTAGTACGCGGCGACATTGTGGTTAGGCCTGAGAGCAGAATCCTGTGACATACCGTTAGGAAGAGCATATAAAGAGCGGGGTGAGCAGTACTCGAGACAATGATTAGGAATATATAGTTCAGTGAAAAGAGCAATATAGTCCAGTGAAAAGAACTATATAGTTATAGCAGAAGGTTCATAGGAAAAGTTCGAGCTGGGCAAAATAATTTTAAACGCAGTTCCTCTTACTCACATGATTTGGTTAACAAAGGACCGCTGCTTCACTACTCAAAATAATTTTGGCAAAAGCTATCGGTATTGCACAGTTTGCAATATTCGAGGAGTAATTTGAAGGCACTCATTCACAATTCTTTGTCACAGGTCTTCTAATGATGTTGGCTGAGTAGCATAGACTTTGCTTTTTAAATGACCCCACATAAAGAAATCCAAAGGTGATAAATCTGGCGATCTTGGGGGCCATTCAATGGCACCTCTTCTACCAATCTATCGATCTGGAAACGTCTGATCAAAATATTGTCGAACACGTAATGCGTAATGTGGTGGGGCACCATCCTGTTGGAACATCAACCTATTCGCAATGTACCGCCGATCATCCTGATTTTCAATTATGGCTGTTAGTGCAGGATCTATGGCGTCTTCCAGTAATTCCAAATACATTTCACAGGTCAAATTTTCAGGTAAAAAAAAAGGACCAACTAAATGATCGACAAAAATACCAGCCCAAACATTTAATTTTTGTGGCTGCTGTGTATGAACCTCATGATAAATTCTGGGATTAGAATCGGACCAATATCGGCAGTTATGACGATTTACTGCGAAATTTAAGAAAAAGGAACATTCGATAATTTCAACTCTTTCTGCTGTGGAATATACCATGGTTAATTTATGTAATAAAACATTACAAGTTATTTTAGCAACAAAGTTTGGTCAAATCGATCGCAAACTATGTACTAACTTCCTATTTAAAATAAGTACGAGATATTTCCTTATCTTTCTTCAAGAAATAACTTTTTTGCCACAAAAAAACGCTCCAATAGCTATTTTCAACAAAAAAATGATAAAAAACCATGGGCGTAGTGAAGAAAAGCATTTACTTATTTAGTAAATTCTTTTAGTCAAATTTCTTCTGAAAGTAGTACAAACTAATCTGATGTACCTATTAAAGTCTACTTTAAGATTTAAATCGATAAATCTTCAAAACTACTGAACTGAAGCTCATGTATTTTACATCATTATAAAGGGAATTGAAAGACCTTTAAAATAAGGTATCACTCGACCCCCCTTTCCATTTATGATTTTAGGGTTGGTGTCACCCCCGCCCAGGGGGCTGCACGTGTTAACGTGATTTTTTGCCAAACTTGTGTCCCCCTCGAAAACAAAATCGACGGGTCTGAGCGTTTTTCCAAAAAAAACTGAGCTGCCACGAGATGCGTCTGTTTCGTTTTCGATGCGCCACCCTGTATAACAGAGATCAAAAAAAGATAAACTTAAAATGTCCTTGTCAAGTGGGTTGTCACACTGACAGTGACAATCATAGATTAGGAAAAGTCACAAGTTGGCAAAAAAATGTTCACGTCCGCTTACAGGGAAAAGTGAAAAGCCGTGAAATGAACTATACACTCTTCGGAATTTCTCATCAGAAGGAGGTTAAGCAAAAAATGACAAAATCGTACGTTTTGCAGTAGCTTACATTACAGTGAGCAGGATTCCAATAATTTGGCAATTTGAGAGCAATATATGAAAATGGTTAGTGTAACGTCTGAAGCCTATCCTGTGGGTTATATCACGATGAGGAACTTATCCTGTGGCTTACATTTCGATAATCCCCAATGCTTGCCTGGCCAGTAAAACCTCATGAATTGACAAAATCTTTACTGTAAACGGTTCGATAACTCACGAGTCGGAAGTGTCATCATGTGTAGGAATATACTAAGATGTATGTTGCTAGCTACTCTATTGCAGCTGGATAATGTAGTAAAAGTATTGCTTGTTATAGAAATAATAAATGTTTGAGCCAAAACGGATTTCTAGGAGACACCTGCATTGATATTGTGGGATGAAGAAGAAAATGCATCAATTAAGACGGGTATCTTTGGAAGAACGTACGATAGAAGTTTGAGTATGAGTATGAGTATGCCATAACTGAACATAGCTGGAAACCTTTGTAACATCAAGAAAAATACATTAAAAATCTCTGAAAGATTAGTTGATACTGAACAAAGAATGCACCATGAACGTTGTTTACAATTCTTATTAGTCAAGATTAGATAATTACTGCAGAGTCATTGTGGGAAGAAAAATGAATATGGATCCGCACATTTTCCATTATCAGAATACCAAGACGTTCACTGGGCGTGTTTTGTAAGGAGGCACTTGCCGACTGCAATTCCATTACCTTGACAAATAGACACACCTTGTATAAATAATAAATTCGATATAAACATTATTGTGATTAGATTTTCTCTTGTGCACTATACGTTAGTCATACAGATGTATCCACGTGTTCTTACGATGTTTAAAGAATACGTTATCAGTTTTGGTTACTTTCACCTTAATGAAAGCACTGTCGTGATGATCTTTCATGTTCGAAGATATGATCGTTCAATCAATTATTAATAACCTGCGCACCTTCAAATTAAAGCTAGGTCAATAACATGACTTGTTGTGAACGATAATTAAAAACTGCCGGTGTATATCAAGAAACAGGCGCATAGAGATATCTGCTGGAACAACTTACTTTTTGTAAGCTCATCTTAATATGAAAAAAGGTTGAATATATATTAAATGACATAGAAAATGCAAAACCGAATAGGAGAGCTGTAATTTTGAGCATACTTTAACAAGTTTTAGGTCCTTAAGGTTAATAATGTGTTGAAGCTCATCTGCTACACATTCGTTAAATCGTCGCGGCATTGACTGGATTAGGTGATGGATGTCTTCTTGGTGTATTGTATCCCAAGACATCTGAATATGGTTTTGTAGAGCCTCCAATGTTTGTGGAGGGTGCAGTGAATTTGCAATCTTCTTCCCATCATGACTGCATCCAGAGGATGGGCTACTTGAGTTGGTAAGACTTCTATCACAATTAATCGAGTTTTTACTAATTTCGGTTATAGATGTCTGAACTGTGTAGTGGACAATGTTATATCGGATTACAGGACAGTACTCTTGGTAGGTAGTAATAGGACAACATATATAGTCAACGCCAAACAAAGTGGCGTGCACGTCATCACGATAAAAATTCCCCGACCTAATGCCTAGGTTTCTATCACAAACAATTGCTCTATTGCAGTTTCATATTAATGTGATATATAAATTGTAAAATGGTCATTACTCTCTTATTATGGTTAATAGTCATATAAACATTGTTATTAAAATATCACATAAGTTGCTTTCTGATAAATTTAGACGCATTATGCGAAATAAAATGTTTTGCAAACGCTCCAATCACTTATCGACATGTAAACGCACTAAACCGATTTCGCAGCGTTGACACATTGTCACCTTGAAACTTATTTAAACTGGGAACTGACATTTGTATTAATTTTGACACTGAATCAATTTGTGGCATTTCAAATCTTTATAAATCCTTTGGCCCCGCATACTGTAAATCAACAACTGTTTGTTTCAAAACAAAATTATTCATTTTACGAGTAGATAAAGGCAATTTTGGTATATAAAGATGCCCAAACAGTTAAATAGTCGGTGTAAGGAACTCGTGGCCTCGTTAATGCACTACTTTGAGCAAGAAAGGGACAACAACGGGCCTTTGTTGCCTTTAAATGCTGTTCAAGAGGTAGGTTACTAATAATTATATGTAATGTATATTAATAATAGTGAAATTTTATTTCATTTTTTGTAGCGTGTTGCTGCTGCTTTAAAAATTAGTTTAAGGACAGTTAGTCGTATTTCCGAGGGTGTGAAAAGTGATGCAAATTTAGAATCGCCCAAGAAAAAGCGGAGTTATATTAAACGTGTAACCAACACAGCGACATTGGATACAAGTGCCATTCGAGAAGTGATCTATAATATGTATCACAAAAGTAAGATCTTATTATAATAACTTATCAGAAATTTGCATTAATTTGTTAACTAAATTATAATGTCATATTACACATGGTTTCAGAAGAACAAGTTACGATACAAACTTTATGGTCTCGATTAAGAGATAGGGCATTATTTGATGGTAGTGCCACGTCTT